CTATCTATCTATCTATCTATCTATCTATCTATCTATCTATCTATCTGCTCATAATGTATATATTAAAACTTGTAGCTCCTATGTATCTTGCACATATACATACGTACATGTACATACATATTGAGATAATTCTCTGTCTGTCCTGTGTTTTTTCTGCACCTCCTAGTGTTTCTTATGTTCTTCATGTTCTGCTCCAGTACACAGCCGATCGGTGTGTACTAATCCTAATTACTGCAGGTGTTTCCCACTCGTCTCATTAGTGTTAGTATTTATTCTGTGCTTTCACTCCCCTGGTATCCGGGCGTTAGTTAACTTTCCAACCCTTCCACGGTGTCTTGGTTTGGCTTTTCTCGTCAGGTCTGCTCCCTTTTTGTGAAAGTAAGCTTTGTTGCCCCGTCAGCATTTTTTGTTTGTAAAATAAAGTATTACTTATTTTACCTGGAGCCTCCTGCCTCTGTCTGCACTTGTGTTCAACACCATGCAGCCAGATCATGTGACATACATGCATACATATTATTCTGTTACTGTTAGTAACCCTTTCATTTTCACACAGTCAAAATTCCAGGATAAAATGAGACGGATATAGAAATACTTGTGCAAATAGTACAGTTGTTGTTTTTTTGGTATTAAAAAGTAATAGTGGGCATGCACAACATAATCTGTCAAGGCATCATTTCTTAAAAACCCCAACACATCAAAAGTTCGGCTATTAAAAATCTCCACTTAAGAAATACAGTATCATTTTTTTTCTGACCATTTATACGAGATGCAAATGCTGCAAAAGTTCTATTTTAAAAACAGTCCAGAGCCTAAGATCAATTATTGTAAATGATTAATTTTCAAGTTAAGATTTGTGTCACTGTTGATGACTCATCTTATTTTGTTTTTCCTCCCTCCTCAGGATGTGTTACTGGTTTGCTTTTCACTCGACTGCCAAGATTCCTTTAAGAATGTTTACAATAAGGTGTGATTAGTCATTTACTACCCCCCACCCGCACACACACAAATATACACACATTGCTCCAGTACTTCAAAACACATTGTATATTCTCCTCCTGCAGTGGTATGAAGAAGCACAACGCCACTGCAAAGAGGTGCCGATAATCCTCGTGGGCACCAAGCTGGATCTGAGAGACAATAAGGACACGATCAAAGAACTCAAGAAGAACAAACTCTCTCTCATCACCTATCCTCAGGGTTTGGCCATGGCTAGAAAAATTGGTTAGTCGTTTATGTGCATAACGCACGTGCTTTTTTTTTTGTTCTTTTATGAATTGAGTGGTGCTGTTTCTCTATTTGTGTACAAAAGTGTCACAAATCATTCCACACTGGCACAACGCATGGAAAGTCCTTTAGTTGGCAACGTTTGATCGTCCTTATTTCTCATCTCAAAGTCATCACATTAAAAAGACTGAACATGTTAATAGTGTGACAAAACCCAATTAAAAAATATATTTATGTGAGAAGAATAGTGTGTGGTGTAGGACCCAAAAATAGGAAAGGTTTGTTTGTTGTTTTTATATAACAGATTTAAAACCAAGTCAAATAAAGATTATTTACTAAGACAACAATAAAACATAAGTTAACTATCCTAGTGTAATGCATGGTGCTTTAAATGTGGTTGATGGTTTAGACATCATGTATGCAGTAGTCCCTCGTTTCTTGTGGGGGTTACTGGTACGTTCCAGGAACCCCCCCCCCCCCCCCCTCCCCTAATAAGTGAAAATCTGCAAAGTATCAACGTTATATTTATTTTAGTAT